TTCAGAGCCAATAAAGCTGGTTCTTAGATTCTGTAATTGCTGCTGTAATTATTCTCTTGGAACTAGCAAAGGCATAATTAAATATGAAGATTCCAAGGACTATCTTTTTTTCCATCTAAAAGCAACCTTTTAGACTTCTATTGGCCTGAATTAGATTTCAAATTTTAAAGCCACTGTGTTTGTGAATGACACTGGGGGTTCTTTGGCAGAAAAGGGATTTCTTAGGACTCCTCTTCTTTGAATATTTGGTTTAGATGAGCTCCTTATTAACCAGGTACTTAAAAAAAAACTCCAACCATCAGGAATATGGGGAGTATAAAGTAAGACATTAAGAACCAGTATGTATTTATGCAAACATTGGGCTTGGCTCTTTGGTCTTTGGCTATATATGGAAGAAGCAAATTTCAGTAGTTAGAAATGAAGTTGGAATGGAGGAAGTTTTATTCAAGTGTAACAATTTGCAGGAAGAGTGGGTGTTTGATTTATTGAAAGGCTCTGATTCCTCCAAATCTTTAACTTGCCCCAGATTACACTTTACCTCAGTGCCACACATGTGTAAGATCCAGGACGGTTCAGCTCTTGTTAATATTTGTATTTACACATACTCACATAGCCCAGATGCTGAACCCGTCTATTTTCAAGGTTACATTACTCATGAACCATGTTTGGGGTTTCAAAAGAGGAAAATTAATTGTGTACGTTTCCCTTCTGTGTTTTCAACTAGTTGAGAAATATACACAGAAGTTAAGATTGGAGTAAGAAAAAAACCCATCAGGCCCCTTCCTGCAAGGAGTGTGGAGTTCTTGCAGGAAAGGAGGAGACTGTGTGAGCCCTGCAGGCAGGAGGGGTATCCCTGGAGGGCTAGGCCAGTTTGCTCAGGACTTTTTCCCAGTCTCAGAGGTGGCCACACCTTATGGCAAGCACAGAGAGAAAGGCCTGTGCTTACAGGAGGTCTTACTCTATGGGCCAAAAGGAATGCAGGGAAGGAATGCTGCCAGATGCTTGTTCTAGCCAGTGTTTCCAGAAGGAGTAATCATTTCCTCTGAGACACAGGTCCATAGGAAATACAATTTGATGTACCCCCACACAAGGAAACCTGGATAGAATATATGAAAAACTGGTACAACTGGTGAGATTGGAGATTCAATCTAATATATACTAAGCACTTACCGTACCAGGGTTGTGTTGCCTGTTGGTCTGCAAGGATGAATGGTGTATCATTCATGGGGGCGGGGGGACGTTCCTGCTTACATCCCTGGTATCTTTGGGTATTTGCTTCCAGATCGTTTATTGCTTGGAGGATTTTAGAAGCAAGGTGGAGGTCAGACAAATGTAGGATTGGCAAAGGATTCCTTGCCAATTGAATATGTATTAAAGAAAAAGATGAAGTAGTTCTCAGTCTGTGATATTAATAGGGGAATAATAGATGTAATTTTAGGAGTAATAACAAAGCTGACTGTATAAAATTTGTTTCATAAATATTTTATTAGGTTCCGGCTATAATCAGGGCACTGGAAAGCAAGGCAGACCTGTCATCTCATCTTAGTTTGTTCTTGACACTTGTCATCGTTCTGAGCCTGTGGTGGGGAAGAGCCAAGGGCTGGGAATCACACAGACCAGGGTTTGAGCCCTCCCCTCCACACATAATACACCCACGCCTCCCTTAGTGACATGGTTAGTTTCCAAAGACCAGGTCGTTACATAACGCACAAGTGGAGGATGAATACATCAGATCACAAAATGGAAGATGATTGCATCATTACATGACTGTTAGATTACATCATTGCATAACTGCCAGACTACAGAGAACTGGCCCAGCCAAGTTGACACATAACCTTTAACTATCACAGCTAGTGTTACTGTCGCCTTGCACCTTGGCATCCTTTACTACCAGGTATATGTCTTCAATGCACAAAATAGTCAGATAGTAGATTTTTTACTGTGGTTGTAAATGTGAAACAAGATAGTCAATAAGTGAGGAGTAGGTATAGCAGGTGACTTGGGTGAACTACTTCACCTTTCTGAACCCCAGTCTCCTTGATAGTAAGACAGTCCAGCTGGGACCACTACCCCCATGATTGAGTGCTTGTGGACTGAATAAGGAGGTGAACGGGGCTGCTGCCAGCTGCCATATTGCTTACCATGCAGCAGGCTCACAGAATGCCATGGTCGAGTCGTTTGTTTATTTTTATTTATTTATTTATTTGTGATTTGGGTGAAAGTTTACAGAGCAAATTTGTTCTCCATTCAGCAGTTCATACACATTTTGTTTCGTGACATTGATTGTAAACAGCTCTCTTCCCCCTTCCTCCCTATGGTTACCTTTTTCTTGTGCCCTTCTTTCCTGTGAATCCCTGCCCTGAGTTACCTCCCTGAGCAAATGCTCCTCTTCTGATCTCCCATGGTTGATTATTCTAAGGAGTGTACTACCTGGTGTGATTGTCCGCCTCGCAGGCCTGTCTGTTGTTTGGCCATGGGAATGAGTGTTTAGTTCCAGGCCCGAATGTGACTCAGGTGCCCTAGTCTCAGGGTCTTCACCAGTCTCTATCAGACTAGTAAGCTTGTTTGGTTTTATTTTTTAAATGATTTTGAATTTTTGTTCTACGTTTTTCTTGAATTCTGTCTAAGATCTCCAATTTTGATCCCTTTCCCAGTGGTAGCTGGGCACCATCTAATTCTTCTGGTCTCAGGGTCTTGTAAGCTGAGGTTCCCATGGACCACTAGTCCCTGGACTATTAATATCCATGCATCTTTGATTTTCTTCACTCTTCTTTTCTCCAGAGTAGGAGAGACCAGTTGTTACGTCTTAAATGGCCACTTGCAAGCTTTTAAGACCCCAGTTACTAGTAACCAAAGTAGGATGTAGAACAGTGTTTTTGTGTAATATGTTATGCCAGTTGAGCTTGATGTCCCCTGCATTGGTTTAATCTTAGTGGTGGACAAGTTGTTATATTCTAGGCTGGGCTGTGGGTGGTGTTACTTTACACTTGGGCCGGCTGGGGAGCACCGGGGTAAGGGTCCCCCCTTTGAAACATTTGCCTGCCCTGAGAAGCCTTGAGACTCACTTGGTGAATAGGGTGCAGCTGAGTCAGTGGAGGAGCAGCACAGCACCAAGAAAGTCACAGATGAAGGCAGCGACTCTCCTACCATCTTCCCTCTGCCATGATGCTTGGTGACAAGGGTGATTGTTCAGACTTGATGCAGTGACTCCCAAGACCTGAGCTCATGAGAATCCCAGTCTCTTGCCTCCCACAGGACGTTGCAGGCCACATTAAACCATGTGGGGCTTTGTCCTGTGGGCAGAGGGAACTCTTGAGGGTCTTTAACCAAGCGAATGAATGACATAGTTGAAATTGCACTCCCTCTTCTGTGTTTGTAGTCCCCTGGGCACTCTCTGTGGGATGGCCCCACCAGGGTCCCCTTTTTCAAATGGAAGGCAGCAAAAGCATTGTTAGAGAGGCAGGGTGAAGGCTTGGGAGTTCCACACATGTTTTACGTCCCCTCTCTGCTGATTACCACCAAGGTGGCCTGGGCGAGTTATGTAACCTCTCTGAACCTCAGACTCCTCATCTGTTAAAAGGAGGGAGCCATTCTTACCTTGAAAGGTTGTGTCATAAGGTACATTACATGACCTGATGGTAGCAAATGGCAAGGGTGTCCACTCAGCAGGAGTCCTGGGGACCCCTGAGCATGGCTGCAGGATGGAGTTCTTGAAGCCATTGGCCATTCAGGCCATCCACACCAGAAGAGGAATAAGAGATGAAGTGGCTTTTCAGATTTTTGACAAATTCTTTTTTGCCTGCTTGGTCCTTTGGCTGGGGGGATTTTTCCTGGTTGTTTTAGCTACTGCTTTTGAAGGAACTGTGGGCTGTTTACAAGCAGGCCAAGACCGTTTTCTCTTGGTGAAAGGTTGTGAGGATGGAATCCTAGGCTAATGGGGTATGAGCAGAAGGAGCACGGGACCTAGTCATATGGCATACGGAAGAAACCACAGCCCTTTGGGGGAGGTGATTAACTGTGGCCTATGCTCTGGTCAGGAGCTCAGGGATGGGGAGCTGTGGGGGTGTTGTGTGTGCCTTGTGTGTGAGTGCATATGCATGCGTACACGTACCTGTCTGTGTGTCGGTGAGGTTACTGCTGTCCGGACCCAAGTGCTGAGCCTGAATAAAATTGACAGAGGGGAAATTAATGGGTCAGAGGACATGAACATCATTGTGGCTGTTGCTGTGTTGCCATAATGCTTTTCAGAAGCATTGTAACAATTTATGGAGTTGACGGCTGTGTGCGAGGTAGCTGTTTAACCCCAGATGATAGAATATTTGCTATAATCATAGTTTATTATTTTTAAAATTTAGTTGGTATAAAATGACTTTCAAGTTACTGTGTAAGAATTAGGACTGCCATTTTTGGGCATCAACTATTTAGTGTTGTGCTATGTGTTGCATATCGTATCTCCTTTAATCCTCACAATGAATCTATTAGAGAAGCTAAGTAGCTCACCCAAGTCTGTGAGCAGCAGCTTAAACTTTAAGGCAATTTGACTTTGAAGCACATTCTCTCTCTGGGTGCTGTCCAGGTTTTGGGGAGGTGTGTGTGTGCGCCTGTACGCGCGTGCTCGTGTGTGTGCGTGCATGGGTGTGTGTGTGCGTGCACGTGTTTATGTGTGTGTGGATTCTTTCTTATGTGCTTGTTTACTAGCAACATTTAGGGGAAGAGTTATGTGCAACCCCCCTCTGGGTTTCTAAGGCTGTAAATCTTCCTTCTACAGAACAGTTGGTGGGTTTTAACTGCTGACCTTCTGGTTAGCAGCCTTGCGCATTATCCGCTACACCACCAGAGCTCCTTGCTTTTTCGTGTAGAAGAGATTATTAACCCTGGTTATAATAGAGGTAACAACTGAGGTGTATCCAGTACAGCTGAGGTGAAGACCCAGGTAGACCCTAGGACATTATCAGTGTCTGGTCTGGGCTCTCTGAAACCCTGTTTCCTCCTTTACACAGCGGCCCTCCAGGCACTCAAGCGCAAGAAGAGGTATGAGAAGCAGCTGGCGCAGATTGACGGCACACTATCAACCATCGAGTTCCAGCGGGAGGCCCTGGAGAATGCCAACACCAATACGGAGGTGCTCAAGAATATGGGCTACGCTGCCAAGGCCATGAAGGCTGCTCACGACAACATGTACGTGGTCACCTGCTGGTGGAAGGGGGGTACTCGCGTGCTAGGCCAGTGCCGGCCCTGGGATGCCTTGTGCCTGGGCCACGGCCTTTGATGGACCCCTAGACTTTTCCATTCTAGCACCTGAGTTTGTGGTAATATGCATTCTTTGTTGGAACTCCTTGTAAAATGGATTAGACCTTAAAGCAGATCTCATGAAATGAGACTTAATTCAGGGTTACTGTGATAAGCATAGAGGTTCAAGCTGGGAAGGGTCCTAGAAGGTCCCCTGACCCACGCCTCTGAGTGTCACGATGGGGAAGCCAGTCCCAGAGAGAAGGAGGTGATTGCCCAGGTTTGTATGTGAGCTTGGGCAGAGGCGGGACTAGAATCAGTGTCCTTGACTTTACCTGATGCTGTCGGGCTGTGACGTGTGGTCCATCAGAGGGCTTTGGGATGCTCTGTTCTTACAGCTTCTTTCATTGGAATTTTCTGCTGCCTCCTTTGCTCTCTGGCTTTGGTTGTCATGTTGCCAGTGTTCTTCCCCTCGACAGTCCTTTCTCCTCTATGTGGTTACTTTCATTTGCAGTGGCCTAAGAAACTAGACAGCCAAGCTTGCTACAGTTATAATTAAAGAAAGAGAACCTAGGCTCTGAATGAGGGCCTGCTCTATGAACAGAATTCTTGTTTTAGTGCTTGGTATTGGCTGCATATATTTGGATGTGTCTGGAGCCTTTTTTGTTTCCGTTTCGGTATTTAGCCATACTCTAGTATAAAAAAATCAAACCAAACTCACTGCCATCAAGTTGATTCCAACTCATAGTGACCGCCTTTGGGTTTCCGAGACAGTAAATCTTTACGGAAGTAGATTGCCCAGTCTTTTCTTCCGTGGAGTGGTATGCAAAATAGAGCCCGTGGTCTACTTTTTGTCAGTAAAGTTTTATTGAGGAGCTCTGGTAGCATAGTGCCTAAGGCACTTGACTGCTAACCAGAAGGCTGGTGATTCAAACCCAGCAGCCACTCCTCGGAAGGAAGGTTGGACAATCTACTTCTGTAGTGATAACTGCTTCGGAAACCCAAGGAGGGGTCGCTATGAGTCAGGTCTGACTCGATAGCACATAACAGAAACAACAAAGTTTTATTGCAACAAGGTCATACCTGTTCATTTACATATTGTCTTATCTCTGTATATGGGCTACAACAGCAGATTGTGACAGAAACCATTGGCTCACAAATGCTAAAATATTTACTGTTTGGCCCTTTATAGAAAGTTTGCTGATCCCTGCTCTAGGAATGTGAGGTTGAAGTAGCCTTCAAATCAGTGGGGTACGACCTGAGGGTGGATGTTTATTGGGCCGGCTTCTTAAGTGCAGCCCATCTCCACCTCAGTTCTGTATTCTCCAGGATGCCCAGCCTGAGCACACCCCAGTAAATGCTGTCTGCTTGGAAGCATATATGTGTATATCATACTGAATAAGTATATGTCCATTTGACTGACTGTGTATAAAATAATTCTGCACATTTGCCTTTCCTTTGGGGCCTAGTAGAGGAGGAACCTTAAGTGGGTTTGAGTATGTGGGAAGGGCCCTTCTCAAAGGAGAACTATTGGCTCAGGAGTTAAAGTCCTGTGGACTCATCTGACGTATTTATTAACTTGCAAGTGAGACCTTGGCGTTAATTTTATTAACTTCTGTGTGAGACCTAACTTTACTAAGCTTTATTTCCTTAGGGTCTAAGAACCCTTCCATTGCCTTGATTTTGTGATTCTCTCTTTTAAAGGGGAGGCAGAAGGCAATAGTGGCTTAGAAGCAGTTCCCCACAGGGAGTCATTGTAGGAGACTGGGGCTGGGAAGCAGAGCGTATGGGGCGCGGTTTCTGCTCCCACTTTGCACACCTTGTTTATGCAGACCAGTTGACCAATATGACATCTGTCCATTTCATTTAAAGGGACATCGACAAAGTCGATGAGTTAATGCAGGACATTGCTGACCAGCAAGAACTTGCAGAAGAGATCTCAACAGCTATTTCAAAACCTGTAGGATTTGGAGAAGAGTTTGATGAGGTGAGTGGCTTTGGGCAGGTCACATAAACTTCACAGCTTCCAGCCTGCCTTGCTATGCTATTGGAGGCTCTCAGGCAGGGAGGGACACTTTTCATCGTTTGGGGTATATGCTTACATAGAGTAAGGGAACCATCCTTGAGACCCCTCAGCGGGCTTCAGGTTAGTAATTAGTTTCAACAAGTAGTTACCCTGCGCCTGTCCATGATGCATGATGGGGCTTGGGCTGAGAGCTGGGGCCTGCAGAGGTGACCGTACCCTGGAGAAGCATATGGATTTTCCCTCAGACAACCTGACCTATAGCAAAGGTGAAGCCAAGGAAGGAATATTTCAGTCTGATTCCTGAAGGATCTATATGGATCTCAGTCACCTTCCAATTCCTACTATAGCAGTTTGGCACATTGAGTGAGTCTCTTCGATTTTTAAAATACAGTAACAGTCCCTGTTGACATTATTTCACTAAGCTCTAGGTTTGAGTCCACTGAAGGTCAGCTCCCCTGCCCTGAGCTGCATTCTTTGTGTTGTCTGATTCCCGTTGTAGAACTGAGAAAACAGCTGGTGGAGCTTCCCTTTGGCTTCCAGCACCAGGATTTTCAGTCTGCAGTTTGATGGACAACTGAGTTAATTTCACATCAGCAAACATTCCTGAGCACTGCCCTGCATGCCCAGCTCTGAGATCAAGAAATAGGGATGAAAAGCATAATCCGTTCTCTCTCGATACAACCTCCTACAGGACAGCAGATGCCTATCCCCAAATCTAATCAGTAAAACCAACCTGGCTTCCTACTCAGATGCTGCCATCACGAACCGGGTGCCCTGGGCAAATTGCCTACCCTTTCTGGGTCTTATTTTCCCATTTGTAAAACAAAGAGGCAGGATCAGAGGTCCTGTCCATAGGTCGACATAAATAGTTGCTCTTTGGTGTGTTACGTTCACCAGTAGAGGCATGTTGAGGGTGTTCAGGTCTCAGAGTTAGACCTAGAGTTCATCTTCCCCTCGTACCTTTTCAGAAGGATGTCTGTGTGTCCACTGAGCTGTCGGCTATGGGGCACCACTGCAGGGGCTGGGTTCCCAGGGATGTCTGTCTCACTCTTGTGTTTCTTTTACCAGGATGAGCTCATGGCAGAATTAGAAGAACTAGAACAGGAAGAGCTAGACAAGAATTTGCTGGAAATCAGCGGACCCGAAACAGTCCCTCTACCAAGTGTTCCCACTATATCCCTACCATCAAGACCAAGTGAGTACTTCTTGTTTAGAGTCACAATGCCTGTGTGGTGGGTAATCTTGTGGTCAGTTGGGTTCCATTTGGGTCCTGCATTTGCCTGGGGTTGAGAACCAGGTAGGATCTGTTGTGATGGCCACAGAGACCGTATCACCTGCCCTTTCTTAGTTTCTCTCTAGAATATGGTTTTTTAACTGCAACGCTGTTGACATTTGGGGTCAGACAGTTCTTTGTTGAGGGGAGGAGGGACTGTCCTGGGCATTGTAGGATGTTGGCAGCACCCACTAGATGCCAGTAGTGTACTGTACCCCTCCTTCCCAGGTGTGACAACTGAAAATGTCTCCAGACATTGCCAGATATCCTGGGGCAGGGGGTAGGTGGAGGGGTATACATAAAGTCACCCTCAGGATAGCTCTTATTTTTATCTAGTATCCTGTGTTGTGTACACCTGTGAAAGCTGCTGAGAGAAGGAACTAGCTTTGGCTTTCTTAGAGACTGAGTACTGTAAAATGTTGACCCTTTAGAGACTAGCTAATAGTCTGATGTTGTTGGAGATAACAAATTTTCATTTCCTTCTTCCTGTTCCTTCTTACCTTCCCCCTCAGTATCTCACCACTGGGTAAAAGTACTCCACACAGAACTTCTAGAAAAGATGAAGCAGTTTGATTTGGCAGGTTATAGTCACCTCAGTCTCCCATGTGTACAGAGGAAACAGCCCCTCCCCAGTACAGTCCGCAGCCTGGAGCAGTGTATGGGTTGAGGCTGTCCACAGGCCACATGGAGGGTCTGTAGAGGTGTTTCAAGCCATTTGGGGTGGAGTCTGGGTAGGCTGTCAAGGACTGGCTCTCTTCTGGGGTTCTTTCCCCCACTCCCCTCAAGCTAGCCTCAGATGCTATGAAACTGAGGCCTTGCTTAAATCCTGTTGACTCTCTCAGTGTTGTACCTGGCCTTGATGGGCAGGTACTGGGCTCAGAGAAGCAGGATCTGCTAGTAAGCCGGAGGTGCAGCCTGGCTACAAGGGCAGGGCTGTTTCGTAGACACCATGTAGCACAACCTTGGGCGTCTAGCCAGAATGTGTTGTGAGCACTGTAACCAGCCCTCCTGAATAACCTTTTCTTTCTTTGCACAGGCAAGAAGAGGGAAGAGGAAGATGATGACATGAAGGAATTGGAAACCTGGGCTGGAACCATATAACTGGTCCAGCCCCGGGCTAGGCCCAGACAGACTCTGGTGGCCTGCGGCAGCAGGCAGGCACATGTGCGTGTAGGGCAGGCAGGAAGTGGTGC